ATGAACTTGCGGACAGCCTCCAAACATAAATAATGCCTACTATATACACACACGCAGACACACACACATGTATATGCATTATCATCCGTATACCAAATGAGAATTATGATACAATTACACACATCAGTTATACGCGAGAACGCTGCTTGACAAGTCAATTACAAGTGAAGCCTGCTTAACCAATGAAAAACAAAGAACACAAAATAAAATTACTAGGATTTCTTCCATATCACATTCTCTGATGAAGGTTTAATAAACGTTTTTAAATCTAACGTTTCTAGTTGTTCTTCATACTGTCATATATATATAAATATATATATATATATATATATATATATATATGCGTGTTTTTAGTGTGTGTATCTGTGTATATAAATATATATATATATATACAGATGCACACACAAACACACACAGACACACACCCACATATATATATATACATATATATATATATATATATATATATATATATATATATATATATATATATTTAATCGAATTGAAATGGTAAATAATGATATTCAAAAAGCAGTTAACTTGTTTGTTTCCCAGGAGACTTGTAGAGAAGGAGATAGATAGATAGATAGATAGATAGATAGATAGATAGATAGATAGATAGATATGAATAGGATGAGATAAACATGAAGAGATAAACATAGATAGATAGATAGATAGATAGATAGATAGATAGATAGATAGATAGATAGGGTCAAAGGGAAGAAGATAGATGGATAGATAAATAGAAAGATAGAAAGGAACAGAGAAGGGGCGATAGATAGATAGATAGATAGATAGATAGATAGATAGATAGATAGATAGATAGATAGATAGGAACAGAGGGAAGATAATAGATGAATAGATAGATAGAAAGGAACAGCGGGAAGGAGATAGATAGATAGATAGATAGATAGATAGATAGAAAGAAAGAAAGAAAGAAAGAAAGAAAGAAAGAAAGAAAGAAAGAAAAAGACAGACGGAAGCATATAAGAGAATACGTGTAAGCGGTTGCCGATAAGACAAGGAAATTGAGAAGATATATAAACTTTCTTCCTTTTTTATTCTCTTTCCCTTCTAGCATGTGGTGAGAACTGACAACACCCGGACCGTGTCCCATGCATGGGTGTATCAGTGTTTGACACACTGTATAGTCCGACGTAACAGATAGAATGATATAGATTGATCTGTATGAACAGTCATAGATTGATAATGAGTTAATGAGCATAGCTTAGATGTGACACAAGGCCGAATGTATGGAGCCCTCAGTGAGGATCGAACTCACTACACAGTCGTAATTTCTCCTAACCATGAAATCACTTGCAAATGTCCCAGCCATAGATCGATAGATACATAGTTGTTTTTAAGTATACAAATATAATGCCTGTCAGCTTGTATAGTAAGAGTATGTAGAGATTACTAAACATTTGAAAAATCTGAAATATTGGTTTGAACAGCGAATATCGCCTGTGGCAAGAATTGCAAAACAATCTCAATCAATATACACTGAGAGATTGATAAGGAATGGAATGAGATTGAAAGGCAAACATTTCGAAAGAGACTGAATTATATATGATACGCGTCTATAAGACGAAATCTGTAGCCGCCTATATAATGTAGAAGGTAGAGTAGCGCTTATCGGCGCCGAAAGAGGAAACAGAATATCAAGTTCAACTTACGTCCTAGTCTGTAGAATTCACTGTTATAGTAATACTTATGGGAAAAGCAGGAATCCACCAAACCCACCTTTGTATTAAAAAGCAGGATAAATAATTTATCTTTCTATGGTTCTGGAAGAAGGAAAACTTTCAACTACCATCTCCAAGAATTCCCGGGAATTCACAGATTAATACAGAAAAGAAATCTATAGATATCAATTTGCGCCTATATCCTTAAGGGATACAGCATGAAAAAATCATATATCCCTTTATTTTTAAGCAGTTATTCAAATAATGAATTTTAATCTAATATTATTTTCTTATTAGACCTTAGAGGTGACCAATAAGATATTCGGCCACTACTGATTTTCAGTCATTTAGTTATATTTATTAGTGAACCCTGTATCAAATAGATACAGCATATATAGTCATCTTTACACACACAACACACATACACACGTAGACATATACACACACATGCACACACACACACACACACACATATATATATATATATATATATATATATATATATATAAATGTTATAGTTCATCATAAGACATTATAATAAAAACATGAAATCGTTACCAAAAAGCTTTCATGTTTCAATATTATGATTGATTTTTTTCAGGTGATTTTATCTACCATCTAAGCAAAGAAATTACTTACCTTCGCCTGTAGAAATGCATCATACTATTGAAACATTAAAGCTTATGTTCAAAAATATTTCAAAATATTTTTATTACAAGCTATTTTAATGAAAATATAATAATAATAATTGCCCTACTTTGTATTGAGCACTTTTTTAAAAGTAAATGCTCCGAATAGTGGATTTTACTCCATCTGTTCTTTCTCTCATTTATATATATATATATATATATATATATATATATATATATATATATATTTTTATATCTTACTGTTCTTTCTTTTTATTTATATACATATATATATATATATATATATGTTTTAAATACAATTCTCCATGATTTTCTCTTATTCATTCATATCTGCTCAATGCGTATTCAAATGTAAACAAATGATGTCATACATTATGAAATGGACAAAGACTGAAAATTATTAAAGACATTATAATGTATGGCGTCATTTGTTTACATTTGGATACGCAATGAGTAGATATGAATGAATAAGAGAAAATCATGGAGAATTGTGTTTAAAGACAGTAAAATCGACCTTGCTAACCGAACGCTCCTCTGTGGCCGAAACAGTTAAGGCATGTCAGGCTATATGACGGTTTCGTATAGGATGCAGGTTCGATTCCTGTCGGAGGACATACATGTATATATATATATATATATATATATATATATATATATAATCATTCATTTCACCCCTAGCAAGGAGAAAACACTAAGACACAAGGAGTTACTGAATGTTAGGGAATCTGAGAAAAAAATCACTGTTAATTAAAGATAACTGCAAAGAATAAAATATATTCCGAACGTTCTTGTAATGTTGAAGACACGTTGTATTTTGGTTCGGGGATATATGGTGCTAAGGCAATGTTACTCTTACGTTATAATCAAATATGTTTCTGACCCCAAAGTGAACAGTCATGTCCAACATATTCTCAAGATATTAATAACCTTACAAACTGTTTTAGCTGAAAATTTTTCCAGTGCTCAAATAACATCAGAATATGTTTTCTTCCCCATAACAATATGTATAGAATGTATTGTCGTAATTTTTAAAGCCACGAACTTATGTAACCAATGCACGTGTAACGATGTCTGTGCCATTTGATATCTTGCTAAGAGCCCACCTGCAAAGCATCACAAAAATCGCTTTGGCATTAAAGCCATTCCGGAAACTCCTGCAGACAAACCGATCCCAAACGTGGTATGCTGTATTCCCTGGATTTTATTGGTGCAGCCGAAATTACGGAGGTTGGAGGGTCATCTGTTCAATATCGTCGTTCATTGTCAGCTAGGCCAGCAACCTGGTGAGGTCGCTCTGTCTACTTGCTATAGATATTCTAGATTCTAGATTTTGTTCTCCGTTGCAAGACAGAAGCTGCCCAAAAGTCAATACGCTAAAACTATTTTGAAATAAAAGCACAGCAAAACTTCTTTATGTGAATAATTGCTGCGTAAATAAGCACACACATGCACATGGATGCCCAGACACACACACACACACACACACACACACACACACACACACACACACACATATATATATATATATATATATATATATATATATATATATATATATATATATATATATATATATATAATTCGTAATTAATGTTTAAGAATTTAAATGCCCATTAAGGAATTATATTCCTGATCAATCAAAATTCGTAAATAATTATATAGGCTATACTACATGTTTAACACGCAGACTCACTCTACAACTTTCTGATCATAGCTCAATTAGATCTCATTGAAATATTCATGGAGACCTACCGGATACTATTCGTAACATACTTGTTGACAAAACAAATATAATAGCATCATCTACATGTAAAAAAGACTAAAAACTATGGAAGCCTTAATAAAAACAAAAAAAAAACAACAACACTTAATAATATTAACTTTGAACATGGACATAATATCTTGACCGTGTCCTGAAATATGAAAACATTTTATAAATACATATATGCAACAAACTTTCTTATTTAACAGTTAAAATATTTAATCTTTGAAAATGGCTAAATATATAGCCGAAAGCGCTCGGAAGAAACGAACGTTCGGACAATTTTTTTTATATAATTTATCATCAGAAAAGAAAGATATTGTTAGATAGCATGAGAAAATGTATAAAAATCTAAATAAAAGCACCTTGTCTGTCGTATTCAATGAAATGGGCATGAAAAAGGGATTGCTACCTAATTACTCAAATTTCAAGTCAAGGCGTCTTTTCTTTCGTACATATATATATATATATATATATATATATGTGTGTGTGTGTGTGTGTGTGTGTGTGTGTGTGTGTGTGTGTGAAAAGTGTATATAAATATAAGTAAATATATATATATATATATGTATAATTATTTATATACTATATGCGCGGTACTTATTAGAAAGCGCTCAATATCAGAGATAGAGCTAACATATTTGGTTGGATAGATGTGAGTTTGTGACCCTGGGTTTCACGCTTTAGCGATCGTCAGACAAACTGATTAATATTTTTAAAAAATTTGGGTTTATGTAGATTGCGTGTATTGGTGTTATTCTGGAAGTGGTGGGGGAAACTTCGTTGCTTATGTCATCGTACTAACGCAAACATCGATGTATGCAGACACATATACATACTTGGTCGTCCGTTGGGACTCATACATATATAAACATATGTGGGCAGTTTCGGATATGACATATG